CAAGAGGAGACAGAGGCGCCCTCTGCTCGCAACTCGAGCGAATGGAGGGGGAATCTACGCGACACTAAATTAAAAAATGTTCAAATTTACCACTTTTTTCTAGAACGTAAAGATTATTATATCGTAAAACACTATAAATTGAGACATTAAGATCCATAAATCGGATGTGCCACTGAGACCCATTGTGAGCGCTATTGGAAGTCCGACTATAAGTGTTGGATATGTTGATGACACTTTTGTTGTTTGGGGCCATGGTTTGGTTGAACTTAAAGACTTCCTGAAGCACCTCAACTCAATAAACCCAAAAATACAGTTCACTATGGATGTGGAGAAGGATGGGCAACTGCCATTTTTAGATGTTTTGGTAAACAGAAAAACCAACGGAAAGCTGGCCCACACGGTGTACAGAAAACCGACACATACCGACCCGTACCTGCACAGTGGATCAAACCATCATCCCAGTCAAAAGAGAGGAGTCATTAAAACCCTCACCGAAAGAGCCAGAAGAATTTGCGAACCATCTGAGTTAGAAAGAGAATTGAAACACCTGGAAAGGACCTTTGGTTGGAATGGATACAGCAAGAACGAGTTTAATAAAGCAATTCGACCAAGAAATAGTGGAGGTCGTTCGGAGAAAACAGATACGCATGATGAGGCGCGAGACTAACCGGAGAGGCCATTGAGATCTTTAAACATGACAACAATTTCAATAGGAAAGAAGGGGTAACGGCCCTTAATCCGGAATGAAAACGCGTTTTGCGGCAAACAGCGTGTGCGCCAAAACATTTGAAGCCCCGCCCATTCCCAACGCATGAGCTCACACGGCCGGCCTGCATAAATACGACAGGGGATCCAGTAGTTGAACCCAGAGATGCCAGGTCTACCGATTTGTCAAGGAACCTACCGATCTACCGATACCATGCCGATTTCTACCGAAAAGCAACAAACAAAAATTGAAAAAAATTCCGTGGATTACTTAAAATAATATAACATATTTCCATTCACGATCAAAGTAGGTTCATGCAATCAAGCCCGCCATATAGATCATGAATATGATAAAATTATGTTTTATGGATCCTTCAATAGTGAAATCAGGTTCCCT